TTGGCAGCCCGCTCGCGGCAGCGTGGACCCAACCCCCCGTGGGCAAGGGTGGCGGGGACCGAGTACGGAGAGCCCCGGAGAGGGGGGCTATTCAGGGAGATTAGTGGAATACGGTAAAAACACTGGCGGGCTGCATTCCCCCCAGGCCCCACCCCGACATACGGTCATCGAGGTTTAACTCTATAAATCTGGCTGTGGGTTTTATTTCTTCTCGCTACATTTTCCGTAAGGAAATTTACCGGAAATTAATATCGTTTTTATTCATCTGTCCATGTATTAATGTCATCATGATATCAAAATAGAATAAGGAACAGCTCTCCGAATCGGGCTCACTATTGCAGTCAAAATTAGATACATAGATAAGATTTGTGAGAGCTGGTGGAAGTAGAGCAAAAGTTTTTGAATTTTGCTGGCATGGCTTTTTGGAGCAAGAAAAAAGGATTTTTCCTAACCGGAATTTGAAGTGAATTGAATGCCTGAGATTCGTGCAGGGCAGTTCTTGTTCTACGACTAGAAGCTGTGGAGGAAAAAAACCCCTTTTTATTCCAGTGCCGAGCTTCTCCATCTCTCTCCTTCCTCCAACTCCGAGTTCAGTCTCTAAACACTTGTCTCATTAAAACCTGCTGGGGGTTTTGCTCATTCTCCCCTCCACTGAGCTAGCTTTTCCCGTTTCAACCTAAAGGTAAACCCTGACAAAACCAAAGTCTATCTGTAGAGGGAGAAGGAGAGGAGCAGGTGGGGGCACAAGAACAACTCCTTACACAAGTGATGCGCGCATCGCAGATGAAAGGTGTCACAGCCGTGGACGTGGTGGTAAAGGGTCTTCTCTATCAAGTCCTGGGGCTCATAGCCTGTTAGCTCAGCTACCCTGAGAGAGACACAAGCAACAAATACAAGTAATTTAGAGAACAGAGGAACAGGCCTGGGGGAAGGACAAGGGAAGGGCTAAATAGATTTGAAAATAACCCCAAATCTACCTGGAATCTAAGAATATGAGCTTCATATCTAGGCTGGCCCGGAACATGAACATATTGCTGTGAAGCTTGATTTCCGTGACGGCACTGGGTGGCAGCGAGTGGCCCACGGCGACCAAGCCAACATTTTGGTAGCAGCCATCGAAGGGGGACATGTCCAGGCTGTACTGGCGGATCTTCAGGTACCCGCTGCAGTGGATGACCTGCCGGAGACACACGAAAGCTCAGGGCCCGCCTGGCACAGGGAGACGGTTTGCTGCTAACGGCATCCCCGCACTCCTGGCGGGGGGACCCAGGACAGGCTCCTCCATTGCCTCCAGGTAGTGTAGCTGGAGCAGGGGGCAGGCTTCTGCCCTGCCGTAGTTGCCCTGGACTGAGAACAGGCAAAACAGTGCAAACAGCCACTGCCTGTGGGATTTCTTCTTCTCTCTCTCTCTTTTTTTGGTTTTGTTTTATGAGAGTTCAGCATTGATCTAAGGCCCATTCAAGTCGTCGAGATTTTTTTTTTTCCACTGACTTAAGTGGTTTTGGACCACCTCCTAACTATGCTTTTACTGTTCTTCTAAAGAGGAAAGAGGTGGAAGTGCCAAGCCAGTTACAACTTTGCAGTGAAGAGTGCACGCGTGTGAGAGAAAGTTTACATGTGTGCCTATGTTACATGTGCAAGATATGTCTATTATATAGGTAGAGCAGATGCATAGCCGGAATATATCTTTGGATGCAGATTTAGGTATGTCACCTAAACTTATCCTTGCATATCATTGCTGTGATTTAGGTATGTCTCCTAAATGAATGCTTGCATATCTCTGCAGTGTACTTCCGACCTTACTTCTCTGTTACAGTGTTTCTTCCCGGAGGTACTTCAGCAGATGTTGTGATACTACGGTAGGTATATCGTGGCCCAACATCTCTGTGGGATATAGGTAACCACAGTTCTCCCATTATTATGCAGCTGGCGCAAATGTGCAGATGACACAAAAGCACGGAGAAGGTAACGGGGGGGAGGGGGGGGTGTCCCGACGGGGACAGGGCAGCCCTGAGCAGAACTGCGTGAAGCACCCGAGCAAAACCCTAGACCTCTGGAGCTGTCAAGCCTTACCCAATAAAGCAATGAATAAGTACAAGGTTTGCCCTGTGTCACCTTACAGTTTCCCCAGACACCTCGGGAACCTCAGTGGTTATGCGAAGTGCGTTTTAAAAGGCAAAATCAATCAATCAATCAAACAAACAAACAAACAAAAACACGAGGAACTTGACGGTCGCTCGGTTTTGTGGTTTGCGCTCGTTAACATGAAACTCCCCAGAAGAATTCTGGGTCTGAACCACATGAAAGAGCGCCGGGCTGGGGCAGCCTGCGCGGGCAGCCCCCCGGTTGCAGCGCACGCCCTGCGTGCTCGGCGCCGCAGGGGGGGTCAGGGGGGG